TAGTTCAATTCAATTACCCCCCCCCCCCCCCTCAAAGCCCCATTATTGACCCCGACCAGGATGCAGCCCCCACAACAAGCTAACTCCTGAGTACCTACTCATTACTAGGTGAACTGAAGCAAAAGGCACAATCGACTTGAGAATGGTCCAGGACGGACCGAAACGTCGCCGTCCTTTCACCTTCTACTTCTAGTGTGTGGTCTGGTGAACAGAGGCAAAAGGAAATGCGCCCAACTATTTCTGTCCCGCCCGGAATTATTGATTGTGCATCGGGAACAAACCTGCGACTACTCCCGGGCCCCTTCAGATTATATTTAGTCGTCTACATCAGCAGGTGGGGCAAATTTCGCGTGACGGCAGTGAAAATATTCAAGGTTTAGTTTAGTTAATCTATTATGTACCCCATACCCATTCAGTAAGCGGTAGTGTAAAATAAAGTTAGGCACCAAGTATAATTCACATAGCCTAGCATACAATATTCTATAAATTACAATTCACATATCCTAGTATTACAACACCATTATATAAAGTACAGTTCACATAGCCTAGTCCTGCAACACCAGAAGGAGAGAAGGAGCTCTGTGACACACCGCCAGCATGGGTTCTGGAATGGTAAATCGTGCATCACAGGCGTAATATAATTCTATGACCCGGCGGCAAAAACTGGGCAAGAAAGAGAAGGATGGGCAGACTATATTTTCATATACTGTCAGAAAGCCTTTCACAGTACCCCATAAAAGTATTTTTTTTTTTTTATAAAAGTGGGAGAAACAGGCAGGAATAACAGGTAAGGTGCTCCAGGGGATAAGGAAGTATCTATGCAACAAAAAAATCAGTTACCTCAAGACACAGCATACGGGAGACATCTCCCGTCACGCAGGGTGCAGTCGCACCTCCACAGATCTCCAGTATCAGCTCTTGATACTGGTAATGGCTCAAAAGGCCCACCACTTACGGGCTATTTATGCCCGTGCCACCTCTTGGGGTGGCTTAATCTTCATTAATCAATCAGGCAGTTACTGTGAGGGAGTGAGGGGGGAGAGAAGGGAAGGGAATGATCAGGGGGAAAGCACCAAGTCTTTACGACTATATAGCACTGGGAAGGGGTCAGGATAAGGATTTGGGATGGGACGGTGGGGGGGAAGGAATGGTGCCCAACCACTTGGACAGTCGGGAATTGAACCCCGACCTGCATGAAGCGAGACCGTCGCTCTACCGTCCAGCCAGGAAGAAAATTGCAAGTGGTTGGGCAGGAGGGGGGAGGGGGAAGACTTCAGAGTAGAAAGATGTCACCAGCGAAGTCTCGCAGGGTTCTATACTTGGACCCATCCTGTTTCTAATGTATGTAAACGTTCTTCCAGAGGATATTGACTCATTCTTCTCAATGTTTGCTGATGACGCTAAAATTATGAAAAGAATCAAGACAGATGAAGATAGGCAGAGACTTCAGGACGACCTGGACAAACTGGAGGAATAGTCTAGAAAATGGCTGCTGATCAGGGGGAAAGCACCAAGTCTTTACGACTATATAGCACTGGGAAGGGGTCAGGATAAGGATTTGGGATGGGACGGTGGGGGGGAAGGAATGGTGCCCAACCACTTGGACAGTCGGGAATTGAACCCCGACCTGCATGAAGCGAGACCGTCGCTCTACCGTCCAGCCCAAGTGGTTGGGCAGGAGGGGGGAGGGGGAAGACTTCAGAGTAGAAAGATGTCACCAGCGAAGTCTCGCAGGGTTCTATACTTGGACCCATCCTGTTTCTAATGTATGTAAACGTTCTTCCAGAGGATATTGACTCATTCTTCTCAATGTTTGCTGATGACGCTAAAATTATGAAAAGAATCAAGACAGATGAAGATAGGCAGAGACTTCAGGACGACCTGGACAAACTGGAGGAATAGTCTAGAAAATGGCTGCTAAAGTTTAACTTTAAACTTTAGAGGGCTGAACACAAAGTACCATCTGGGAGGTGAAATCATGCAAGAGTCAAATACAGTGAAAGATCTGGGATATAAGATCGAAAGATCGATATATCATACCGAACCTGTCCCCAGAAGCCCACGTCAAAAGAATATCAGCGGCGTATCCCAAATTGGCGAACATAAGAACTGCCTATAGAAACTTGTGTAAGGAATCATTCAGAATCTTGTACACCACATATGTCAGAACATTCTAGGAGTATGCAGCTCCAGCCTGGGGTCCATATAAACACAAAACAAAGTTAGAGAAGATTCAGAGGTATGCCTCTAGCGTCATCATGGGGAGCCGGTCGGCCGAGCGGACAGCACGCTGGATTTGTGATCCTGTGGTCCTGGGTTCGATCCCAGGCGCCGGCGAGAAACAATGGGCAGAGTTTCTTTCACCCTATGCCCCTGTTACCTAGCAGTAAAATAGGTACCTGGGTGTTAGTCAGCTGTCACGGGCTGCTTCCTGGGGGTGGAGGCCTGGTCGAGGACCGGGCCGCGGGGACACTAAAAGCCCCGAAATCATCTCAAGATAACCTCAAGATATGCCACCATACTAGTCCCAGAGCTGAGAGGGACTCTGCTCCCTCTCAGCTCTGAGTTATACGGAAGGCTTCGGGAAATAAACCTCACGTCCTTGGAAGACAGAAGAGTTAGGGGAGACATGATAACCACCTATACAATTCTCAGAGAAATTGACAAGGTGGACAGAGACAAACTATTTAGCATAGACGAAACACGAACAAAGAAACACAAGTGGAAACTTAGTACTCAAGTGAGCTACAGAGACATTAGAAAGAATTAGTGGCAGGGTATTCCCCCCCCCTCCGAGGGACGAGTTTATTGGGCAACGCTACTCATCTTGTGAGTGAACATACCGCCATAGGTGTCAGGGTAGTTAACAAATGGAATACACTAGGAAGTGATGTGTTGGAGGCAGACACCATACACAGTTTCAAACGAAGATATGATAGATCCCAATAGGATCAGGAACCTATACACCAGTTGAGAGGCGGGACCAAAGAGTCGAAGCTCATCTCTCGCAAGCATACTTAGGTGAGTACCATTCTATAAAGTATAATTAACATAATACTACAACACCATTCTTTGAGGTATAATTAACTTTGCCTAGGCTATGTACACTACTCTTGAAAGCATAATTAGCATTGCCCAGGATACGTACACTATTCTCGAAAATATAATTTACATTCTTTAAAGTAGAATTCACATAGCCTAGCCTACAACACTGTTCTTGAAAGTATATCTCGCTTAGCCCAGCCTATAACGCTATTTTTGAATTACACAAGGAAATCACGCAAACGTGATATACGAAAGATAATATCAAGTGGAATAACGAGGGAATTCGAACCCTGGGCCTGGGTACTCCCAGCCGCGCACCTTACCTCTGGACCATGACATGGTATCCACTGAATCCAGTGGATGCACTGAATCACGTTATGGTATCCACTGGTATCCACTGAATCACGTTAGTGTGAGTTCCTTGTGTATCTGAAGCTGGAGTGTCTGGTGGAAGAACTCCATTACCTACACCAGAGTGCCTGGGGGTTATATGTAAAGCTTGGGCTGGCTTCAGTAGAAGCCTCCAACGTCCTGTGGATTCAGTGGAATCTCAGATTGCACTGAATTTTATACCATGTCGTGGTACAGGGGGTAAGGTGCGCGGCTTGGGAGTACCCAAGTACCCAGGTCAAGGGTTCGAATCCTCTCGTTGTTCCAATTGTTTTTCCTCTTTGATGTATCACGTTTGAGTGATTTCCTTGAAAATATAATGAACATACGTTATCATACAATACAGTACCATTATTTAAAGTAGAATTCACATAGCCTAGTTTGCAGCAAGCACCCTTCATTAAATTATAATTCACACAGTCTTGCCTATAACCTGATTATTTAAAGTAGAATTCACATAGCCTAACCTACAACACCATTCTTAAAAGTGAAATTTAGATATAGCCTAATGTATGTTCACCATTTTGGAAATCTATTTAAAAAGCCTTGCCTACAACACCATTCTTGAAAATAATTAAAAATCTTTGCCTAGAACACTATATCAACAGTGTAATCCACAAAGTCTAATCCTATATAGTCTACACCACCATTCCTGAAATTGAACATGGTTTAGTTACTCACAAATCTTGTACAATCATATCTATGTTACATCAGGTTGTTAGTCTCAGTATACTGTAAATAATGTTACTTGGAGGAAAATGTTTCGAATCCTACATAATTTATTTATTCACTCCTTTACAAATGACGCTGGAAGGAGACTGAGCACACACTAAATGTTATAAAATAAGCAGTTTGGCTATATTGTTTTCTTGCGTAAATGAATTATGTATTTACACTTGTATTTTTGTAAACTAAATCAATTCAAAATGCACAACCATTTATGCAAATAGTTATTGATTGATTACAGATACTTTTCCCAAGCTACGCAGGCTGGCGGCAGGTTGAGTGTTCTCAGTACACATATGACTGACATAAAGTCTGCCTCAACTAGCAATAATCAACATAGCAAGACATAAAACACAGAGACCAATTGATTTAAAAACCGCGTGTCTCCTAAAAACCACAATTGACATCTTTCTCCAAGGCCTGGAAGACCTGTGGGAATATTTCAACCTATACCGTTGATAGGTTAAGTAATAATTGTAAATAAGAAGCAATAAGATGCTTATCTTAACATACTAAGAAAGTTAGGTGAGGTCGGTGTTTTCTATGAAGCTTTTCTAGGTAAACTAAAATATTCACAATCAATTAGTATGTCACATATGCACTTATTAAATAAGCCAATATTGACTAAAAGCAAGTGCGAGAACGGGTTGGGGAATGCCACCTTTGCCTTTCCTTATACGCCTTCTTCTCATAAGCCATCTATTCAAACCCAGAAATTACAAATATCAAAGCTAGCATCCCTAGAACATACAACTAAAAAAAGAGAAACATGAAAGTATGCGTATATCCCGTGATGAGGTTCCAGGAGGTCAGAGCCACCTTCCAGCGCTATTACTCAGTACATTCCCGACCAGTGCAGCAGGAGGTCGCGTCCGCCGCTCCGCCTCCGCTCTTCACTGCACTCTCAACTCTCCCTTTTCTTTGACGTGTGTTGAAGACTCCGGAATTAGCACCTGCTATTTAGTGTTATATTGCTCCAAAGAAAATATTCGAAGTGAATATGAAAGAGACTAAAGAAACTTTTCTCTTGTTCTTTGTCAACTTGGAAACTTTATAAACATTAAGGCAAAACTCACACTCTCCGATTGTCTGATTCACTGTGTTTTTGGTCGAGTTTTATCAATCCGATTCGTGTTAATCTTTGTTGCTGGGTGACAAGTGCGGGGTGAGTTAGTGACAAATATGGTGACAGTGACAAATGTGGATGACAATGACAATTGGAGGTGACAGTGACCATTCTGGGTGAATTTGTGATAAATGTGAGTAGCTAACGACAAGTTTGGGCGATAAATGTGGGTAAAAAAGTGACACGTTTAGGTGACTTTGTGACAAACGTGGGTGACAAGAGGCGGACGGGAGAACATGACTTGATGAAATACATTCACACACATTATAGTAGAGTGGATTATAGTACTGACTGCTTCTCTGGCGGCCTAGGTTAGGATCACAGGAATAATTTGTAATTCTGTTGAATCACGAAGAAGTTAACACGTGATGAACAATGTCAGACCACGAAGGAAGGATTAATTAAGTCAGGAAATTCCTTAAGTACTTTCGATTTTATAATACATCTTCAGAAGGACAGATTTACATTCTTCGAATTTATTTTATTAGTGTCATTATTATCTTTATATTATGAATGATATTATTATTATTATTAGTAGTACAAATTATTGTTAGTTATTTTATTGTTTATATCAGGCATTTATTTTTCAACAAATGATATTATCAATGAGAGAGAGAGAGAGAGAGAGAGAGAGAGAGAGAGAGAGAGAGAGAGAGAGAGAGGAGAGAGAGAGAGAGAGAGAGAGAGAGAGAGAGAGAGAGAGAGAGAGAGAGAAGAGAGAGAGAGAGAGAGGAGAGAGAGAGAGAGAGAGAGAGAGAGAGAGAGAGAGAGAGAGAGAGAGAGAGAGAGAGAGAGAGAGAGAGAGAGAGAGAGAGACACACACACACACACACACACACACACACACGCTGACGTATATAGGAAATATATTTTATCCGGTTTTTACCACATTTCCTGTCACTGAATTATAAATGCTACAGTAACATAAAGCAACAAAGGTATAAGCCATTGGGACTAAGTAAATACTTCAACCTATACAAGAAATAAGAATCTCAGAAACATGTTTGCAAACAATGGTTACCCCTGGCCACTTGACGATAATTAAGCTGGGAATGTCTTAACAAAGGGCGTAACCCATTCTTCCCGTAGTTGTATTGCCGCTGGAAAGCTCTATTACCTCAATATTACCACCGCCGGCCCATAGTACACTATATTACTTGATTTATGATATTATTATCCAAGTTCTGCAGTTAATAGTAACCTCAGTCATCTCTGTAATTCGTAAGACATGCACTAAAGTTTGCAATTTTTGTAAAATCAGAAATTGAATCTTGACATCGTATCACATACAAGTATACCTGAGGTAGGTAATGTAGGTACCAGTCTGCATACATGACCCGCTCGGAAAGTTTATGAGAACATGGCCCATAAAAACGCACCACCACTCATAGCCTCAATTCTGCATTTTTTTTTTTTTAACAAGCTTAGGTATACACAGCAATGTGCTGCTACCCTATTCTATCTGAAAGATTACACAATGTAGATCAAAAACTAGCTATAAATTCATCAAATATCGCCATCTCACAGGATGGTTAGTCATACATGGAATCAGCAAAGAAAATACCTGCCTCAATACAACAAATAAATTAAATTTGATTAAATAATAACTTTATGATTTTCATAAGAACTAAACACTGAATCATGGACATATTGACATATTATATTGTAATCATTTTTACCAGTTTCCACAAGATTACTATCAAATAATATTTGTTTTATACCTACCAATCACGGAGGACCTCCTGACAAACCGCCAACGACCATCAATTTGAAACAATGAGTCGTTACGAGAACTTTTGTGCCAAAGAGATTTGTTATACTGTATTGTTAGTAGTTTCTCAGCGTGTCTCACGATTGTTAAATATTTATATTATTTCTTGAAGCTGATGTTCGTGGTCATAGGCTGCTGTACTGTTGATTCTTCTTAACGGTAGGTGCAGTATACATGAAGGGTTTATCTTCCCAATGACTGCACGAGTACAAATGTTGGGAGACGGATTAATGTTGAGAATGTCAAGGTTTCAAGTGTTTGTTGTGGTGTAGATAGATGATGTCTGCCCGAAACGCTGCGCGTACTAGTGGCTTTACAAGAATGTAATTACTATGCTGTGTATCCTCACAATCCCAATGTACCTTCATGTATATAAATAAATAAATAAATAAATAAATAAATAAATAAATAAATAAATAGAGGAGCGGCGACTCAACAGAGGCGGGTGTTAAAGAGAGACTTGCAGCACTGTAGGGCGGGATGTTGTGTTCATGGCGTCAGCTGCTCCTTGGTGCTGCGGCCAGGCAGTTGTTTTCTGTTTGGCTGTTGGTGGCGCCAGGTATAAATGTGGCGCGGGTCAAATGTCGCCCAATTCGTTGGTCGATTAGAGATATTTAGCTAGTGATTTTATTTTTTTTTCATGTAACGAGAGATACACCTGTTGATTCCAGATAAGTAATCTATCACTTCTCATGGGAGTATTTCTTTGGAACGTTCACTTTAGTCTTACGCTTCTCGGCACGATATTTACTGACATTACACACAGTGCGCAGTATTTCCAATATATATAGTAAATCGTGTTACGTACATTATATGTTAACTATTTTTGTTATAGATGCTTAGTCTCTGACCGACAGTTAAGTGTTCAAAGGATGACTGTAAGAGCTGGAAGATCACACTCGTATTATAAACATTTTACAGTAAACAATCTTACCAGGAAGTAGTGGCAGACAGCACATGATAATTTTTTCCTTCGAACATCACCTCCTTCCTGAGACAATATTAAGAAGACCAGTGAGAGTGTGTGCAGTCAAGCCTCCCCACACGCCAACAGACAAAACAAAATTTATTTTTGCTGATTGGAGTTTTTGATGTTAATGGAATAGCCTAGCTTCGCCTGGCTCAGGGCTCCGATGTCACAGTTGTTGATGGCTCATCATTCCACTGACTTTATCACTTCTCGGTCTCCTACCCAAGTGTTCCTCATCTACCGCCTCATCAGGACCATCTTCGGGTCTCCTCAGCCGTCAACGTCTTGGTTATCTTGCTTCATCGTTACTCAGTTCTCATCGTGAGCGACGTGTTGGGTCCTCGCGCAGCCCTGCCTGCTGCCCGGCCGGATAGTGAAAGAAACAAGGCACCTACCAGACACGAGGCTCCAGCAAGTGGTGTGCAGCAGGTTGTAGTGTGGGAGTCGACCTCCACCATGAAGGCGGTGAAGTGCCTAGTGCTGCTGGTGTTGCTGGCCGCCCCTCTCGTCCTCTCTGATGTCAGAAAGCGACCCAAGAAGGACAAAGAACGAGCTGGTGAGTCAACACATCTTTTGTTGTATGTATAATGAAAATAATAATATGTATATTCATGAAAGGACACTTATAGTACACTGATTACCTTCCTAATATAGTTTGATACATGTTTTACAAGTCTAGTAAATGGAGAGCGTTTGGTTACGTACACCAGAGTGCATACAAAATACATGTAAATATTGGATTTGGCATCAGCTTGGTTCCTCGAGATTGTTTGTAAGTTCGAGTGAACTCCAGGTTGTGTTAGTATAACACCTGGTTATTCCTCACCACTCACTTATAACATCTTAAAAATTAACTTAAACCTAATGCTGCCACCATCCTTCGCTCTTAATGATATTAATTACATTTGATAATTACGGTTACTGGCGACAAAGGTATGCCAGTCAATACTAGGATGGAAATATTTATTATCTTAGGTCCCGGGCCCCTGACTGGGAACAGCAGACTAGGGCCACGCGCCCCGCTCCTTACACAGACATGAGGACGGGCTGCCAAGATAATCCTCACTGCTCACTAACATTCAAATAATTATTTGCGCTTTTTCTTGATTCTGCGCATTGATAATTACTTCCGATAAAGCAGGGAAAGGGCGTAATTTAACAATAACTGATATCGGCAATGCACTGAGGGAGGTGCTCCAAGAATATTTGAATCTAACAGCCTCATATTCTAACATACACGCATAGGCAAGAGCAAATTGATACACATTATATATAGGGCTTACAATGAAGTTTATTTCTACATCCACTGGCTATATGCTCTCTTTTTCCCTAACAAGGCAAATAGAATGGTCGATGTTTGTGATGTTAGAAAATAGGGACAAGTTCTCCAGGTGTGAATAATTCCCGTGGGAATTAACCATGAAGATGTGGCGTATGGGGGATGTGATTAGCACACCAAGCATTGGGGAACACTGGGGGACGTGAGCCACCACCTTACCTTCCTTGTGTGAAAAAGTCGCGGGCACTGTACTACTGTTCACGGGAGACATCTCCCGTCACGCAGGGTGCAGTCTCACCTCCACAGATCTCCAGTATGATCTATTGGTACTGGTAATGGCTCAAAAGGGCCACCACTTACGGGCTATTCATGCCCGTGCCACCTTTCGGATGGCTTAATCGTCATCAATCATCAATCGTACTACTGTTAGATTAGTTTTAGCACATCGTGGTCCATGGGTAAAACGTGCGTCTAGGGTGCCCTTGGACGCTGGTTCGATTCCACTGCTGCCTTCCAAAGATTTTCCCTATAACTATATCATGTTATTGTGAATTCATTAAAATTAAAACTAATATCTGGGTGCAGATTATACACTCTAGGGTAATAACTCTAAGATATGTAAAATAATGTATTGTTTAACATTATTATAGATTGATGTATAACACTAAAGAGTGAATTTTATTTAGGTTATAGCGTTGTGGTAAATATCGGTTTAATTAGTGACAATTGTTATGCGATAACTATTTAGAAGCCTATTTCAGAGTCTAGCTTTCTCCATTGACATTGCATTTCTGATTTGGTTGAATCCATTCCCCACACCTGCACCATCACTGCCACTCCCCCTCCATCTCCCCGTCTCTCCCTGATCCCCACTCCATCCCCTGATGACAATCAAACACCAACCACACTTCCTAATTCCACCTCCAACAATATCTCTACCTTATATATAATACTTCCTTCCACCTTCTTCCATCTTGTCACAACCTAATCTACCCATTGAGCAAAGATGCCTTCTCCTCCTTCCAGTCACCAACTCAACCAGCCACTACCTCATCTATTTATTTATTTATATACAAGAAGGTACATTGGGTTTGTGAGAATACATAGCATAATATTTACAATCTTGTAAAGCCACGAGTACGCGCAGCGTTTCGGGCAGGTCCTTAATCTAACAGATAATTTTAAGTCTACACAGTTTGTTAGACCAATATGCAGCACCAGCCTGGAATCTACATCTTGTGAGGCATTAACCCAAAGTGATGGGGAAGTAGGAGGGTTAGCAACTAGATTAGTGCCAGCACTAATAGGACTAATCTATGAGGCTAGGAAGCTAGATCTTACAGCCCTAGATGACAGGAGAAACCACGGGAATATGATCACAATATAGAAGATACTGTGGGGAAAGAATAACGTAGACATAGATAGTCATTTTAAACAGAGAAAAAGTAGAACGAGATGTCATAATTGGGAGTTTGAAACGCAATTGAATCAAAGAAATTTAAAGAATTACTCATACCCTGTACGGGTGCTCAATAAGTGGTATAGAGTGAAAGAGGAATGAAGTTATAAAAGCCACATCCATCCAAAACTTTAAGGCCAGATTCGATAAAGAATTTGAACGTCAGAATAGTAAAAGTATAGTGCAACAGGTACAACAAGGATAGTCACTGTAGGTGTGTACACACACAGACACAATTACATGTAACGAAATTCAAAACGGTATTCCTTCGGACGGATATGACAAGGGATGAGAGAACGAGGGCAGCAGACGCAAGGAATGAGCGCAGGGAGAGAGAAGGGAATCAGGGAACCTCAGCCCCAAACCTTACAATCCTAGAAGGGAGTGGGGAACCCTACACAAGCGGTTCAGGAGCCCCAGTGAGAGGAGCATCACCCCCACCTTCCATCCAATAGAATTCCCAACCCTTACCAGCCCCCCACTAAGTGCCCACCCAGTCTCTCTCTCCCCCCTCTCCCTTCTCCCCCACCCCCAAACCCTCCCCAGCATAATCTCAACCCGTGTGGATATGATAGAGCCCAGTAGGCTCAGGAATCTGTACACCAGTTGATTGACAGTTGAGAGGCGGGATCAAAGAGTCAGAGCTCAACCCCCACCAGCACAACTAGGTGAGTACACACACACACACACACACACACACACACACACACACAAACTTCGAACAGGCGGTGACAGGTATACAGAGAATGACAGAGAGGTGTGTGAAGAACTCAACAAGAGGTTCCAGGAGGTCTTCACAATAGAACAAGGTGAGGTCACTGTGCTAGGAGAAAGGGAGGTAAACCAGGCGGCCTTGGAAGAGTTTGAAATTACGAGAGAGGAGGTCAAGAGACACCTGCTGGATCTGGATGTTAGAAAGGCTGTTGGTCCAGATGGGATCTCACCATGGATACAGAAAGAGTGTGCAGAGGCACTTTGCTTGCCACTCTCCATAGTGTATAGTAAGTCACTGGAGACGGGAGATCTACCAGAAATATGGAAGACGGCGAATGTGGTCCCAATATACAAAAAGGGCGACAGGCAAGAGGCACTGAACTACAGGCCAGTGTCCTTGACTTGTATACCATGCAAGGTGATGGAGAAGATCGTGAGAAAAAACCTGGTAACACATCTGGAGAGAAGGGACTTCGTGACAAATCGCCAACATGGGTTCAGGGAGGGTAAATCTTGCCTTACAGGCATGATAGAATTCTACGATCAGGTGACAAAGATTAAGCAGGAAAGAGAGGGCTGGGCGGACTGCATTTTCTTGGATTGTCGGAAAGCCTTTGACACAGTACCGCATAAGAGGCTGGTACATAAGCTGGAGAGACAGGCAGGTGTAGCTGGTAAGGTGCTCCAATGGATAAGGGAGTATCTAAGCAATAGGAAGCAGAGAGTTACGGTGAGGGGTGAGACCTCCGATTGGCGCGAAGTCACCAGTGGAGTCCCACAGGGCTCTTACTCGGTCCTATCTTGTTTCTGATATATGTAAATGATCTCCCAGAGGGTATCGATTCATTTCTCTCAATGTTTGCGGACGATGCAAAAATTATGAGAAGGATTAAAACAGAAGAGGACTGTTTGAGGCTTCAAGAAGACCTAGGCAGGCTGAAGGAATGGTCGAACAAATGGTTGTTAGAGTTTAACCCAACCAAATGTAATGTAATGAAGATAGGTGTAGGGAGCAGGAGGCCAGATACAAGGTATCATCTGGGAGAGGAAATTCTTCAGGAGTCAGAGAAGGAAAAAGACTTGGGGGTTGATATCACGCCAGACCTGTCTCCTGCAGCACATATCAAGCGGATAACATCAGCGGCATATGCCAGGCTGGCCAACATACGAACGGCATTCAGAAACTTGTGTAAAGAATCATTCAGAACTTTGTATACCACATATGTCAAGCCAATCCTGGAGTATGCAGCCCCAGCATGGAGTCCATATCTAGTCAAGGATAAGACTAAACTGGAAAAGGTTCAAAGGTTTGCCACCAGACTAGTACCCGAGCTGAGAGGTATGAGCTACGAGGAGAGACTACGGGAATTAAACCTCACTTCGCTGGAAGACAGAAGAGTTAGGGGGACATGATCACCACATTCAAGATCCTGAAGGGAATTGATAGGGTAGATAAAGACAGTCTATTTAACACAAGGGGAACACGCACAAGGGGACACAGGTGGAAACTGAGTGCCCAAATGAGCCACAGAGATATTAGAAAGAACTTTTTTAGTGTCAGAGTGGTTGACAAATGGAATGCATTAGGAAGTGATGTGGTGGAGGCTGACTCCATACACAGTTTCAAGTGTAGATATGATAGAGCCCGATAGGCTCAGGAATCTGTACACCTGTTGATTGACGGTTGAGAGGCGGAACCAAAGAGCCAGAGCTCAACCCCCGCAAACACAACTAGGTGAGTACATGACTTCCGAGATAAAAGGTCATTAACGCTGTCAAATATCTTCCCTCGCACAACTTCTGGTCTCAGAGCTCAGCTGACACTCTCTTAGAGTTATCCAATTGTGAAAGCCAACCGAAGGTAATACACAGACTTTTCAAATACATATTTTTAATTCTACCAAAGAAAAAAAACAGCTTGCATCATATATCTTACACAATGGAGCTGAAATGCACTGAATCATTTCCAATAATCTGGCAAAGGAATGTTGCAGCAAGATCCAGGTTTAAACCGAAATTGCGTCAGAATTTAACGATACATAACTATCCTAATAATTGGTACGTTATGTTAGAAACGGCAGTAACATAATAGTAATTAGCGTTA